TAATTACAGTGAAGGAAGATTTGAAGTATCTGCAATAAAATAATGATAAAATAACCTAAATATTTCAATAACAAACATTTTTTGCTCCCTACAATATGTCTAAGATTTGTTTGAATGATGAAGCTCTCTACTTATTAAGCAGTTTTGTTTGAAGTGCATGACCTAGGATGCTATTAATGATCTGTTCTGACCCATACACCTCCCAAGAGAATCCCAGAGATAATAAGAAGAGCAGGGAATTATTGATTGAAACTAATGTGGCTTCCTTGTAGATCCCGAGTGTCTGTGTTAAACAAAATCAATCAATGCCAACTGAAAAGCATGTTAATCATAATGTATGAACAACTTATATACACTAACATACTATAGAAACCAATATTGCTACAATGCTTGCAAAAGCAATTAAATATTACTAAACTTTTAAAAAGTGAAAAACAAACATAAACTCCAATCAAACCCCACTTTGATTTGTAACAAAAGTCATCTGGACACTTTGAATTAAGTTACCTGAGCTGCAACTGTCCAAATTTAAGATTTTTGGATATTGGGATTGATCTGTCAGCATTTCTCATAGCAATTAGTGGACAAAGAAGTAACTGGTACTCAAATCCAGAGCATAAGAATCTTCTAATCACAGAATTCAGGTAAGCAAATTAATGATTGCCATCCTAATTTTCTCAAGCAAGTAAACTAATTCTCTCATGCCACTTTCCCTCTCATCAACTGTTTCTCTTTTCTGAACAAAATTGCAGTTTATTGTTTTACCTATAAATGTATATTGGACATAAGTACTGGAATTATTGAACATTTAAAAGTTCTTTGCACACATCTCGGGATACTATCCTTATATTCTAAAAAAGGCTTTGGCATTACTAATCTTATTTTCAGATTTATACAATTCTTGTGAAAGAACACAAATCATAGGTGCATCTGTACACAAACTTTGATAAAAGACTTTCCATCACTTGCTTTAAAACAAATTTACATTAGCAAAGGTACTGTACAAAACCAAAGAATAATTGCTATCTTCCAATCTCTCACTGGTTCCAGCTTAAAAACTGATGAAGCTTAACTGACACACAGGGAAATTACACTGGTGATAAACCAGATGCTATGTTGAAATAAAATATCTTATCAAACTAATGCAACTGAGGTCATTGCTATGGAATTTGATCTCAAAAATGGGACTAGGGAACACCAGTTGCAAATAAAAATAATATAATGAAAAGTGCAGGCAAACCACTGTCATAATATCACAAATCCTACATTCATGAATAAAAATTACATCATAACCAAACATACCAAATATACATTATGACTCTGTGGGTGTAGAAATGAAGCAATCAACACTAAATCAAGCTTTAAATCAGGGTGAATACTGATGCCATTTTTCAGAATACATTAGCAATCTGCCATAGTTAGAAAAAAATACAAATTAAATCAACCATCTCCATCACATGAAAATATTTCAAGAAAGTCTCTGTTTTTCGTGTACTGCTCAGACCAAGTTCTAAACACTGTATTTCCATTTCTAAGAATTCTGGTTTTATCTATCTGTGTTTCCTTTCTTAGGAAAAGACCTTTGGTGATGCAGCACTGGAAAACAGAGTGGATTTTGATAATCAACTCAGGACTTACTCTAAAAGCTATGTTGACAAGTACAATCTCACCCAATGTTAGTAAGGTTTAAGAACCCTTAAATTACCTACTCCCTTTGCTGCAAGAATTGACACTTGCATTTCAATGCTCCAGGAAATATACTACACAACTGAATATATTCTAAGATACTTCTCTCCACTGAACATTGTACAAATGGTAGCCAGGTACAACACAATGCATTTTAAGGCTGTAAAAATTACCAGCTTTGATACTGAATTCTTAAACCACTCTCTTGCCAGAAGATGCAACAAAATTGTTAGCTAATATTTTCTCACTATTGAGTTAGCAGGTCACACTTACTATGCCTGCTTCCTTCATATATGACTTTGCATTAAAGGTCTAAGGTTTATTATTTCTTCACTTTAGAAATAATCTGTTTAAAATCAAGACTATATAAAGATAAAATGAATAGAACTAAATTTTTGAGTTTTTTTTTCTTTTTGATGGCAAAAATGAAATGTAAAATAGCAGTTATATACTTAACTTACATCAACTATAATATAAATAAAGAAAAATTTATTCTACATCCTATTTAAGAAAGCTCAGAGAAGAATTTGTTTGCTTGTTTGAAAAATGAGATTCTTTGTTGTAAAAAAAAAAACCAAAAAAACCAACAAACAAACCAGCAATTATGTTTGGTTGTTACATTCCTAAACCAGCAGTGTTTGACTTAATATTGTAGAAAAAACCAGCTTTCTCCTACATAATTTTTCGTAGGGTTCATAAATAAAGCATTCAGAATAAAGCATTAGATAGTTGTGTTTGGAAAAAAATTATTCTAGAAATGTGTATAAAAATATGGAAGAATTCAGTGTTCATTCTTTAAACTATGAACTTGGCAAATTCAGAGATGGATACTTGTCAGTCAGTGGCCAATTTATCTGCCAGCTTCACTTGCAAGCAGGTTAGAGACAAGAAAAAGTGCCTGTATTCTTTCCTATATAATTGTATTGATGGTATGTAAAACTGTTTTCTAAAATTTCATTCATGACAAAAACCTACAGATCAAATGTTTGACTTTTGCCTTCATTTTCTTCTAGAAACTTGATATACAGTTCTAGGTATTACTATCCTTTTCTCTGATTATAAAACATCCCCAGCAATGCTCAAGAAAATAAAGTAGCATGTCCTACATATTTTGCAGCTACTCTTAGCAAAGGGCTCAATATCCTAATTATAAACTTTTCACAAAATAATGAAGAACCATGTTATTATATCTTAATACGCCACAGAATCAAAAATTACCAGGTTGGAAGGGAACCTAAAGGATCATCTGGTCCAACCTTTTTAGGCAAAAATGCCAGTCTAGACAAAATGGCCCAGCACCCTGTCCAACTGAATTCTAAGTGTACCATACTGGGGAATCCAACAGTTCCCTGGGGTATTTCAAAGGCTGATTTTTCTCATTTTGGAAAAATTATCATTTTGTGTCTAATTGGAATATCCCCAGGAGAAACTTGTACCCATTATCCCTCATCTTTTCCATGTGACTCCTTGTCAGCCTTAAAATAAAATAATTATGGTATTTAGATACAAATGTTAAAGAGAAGCTTTATTTTCAACAGATGAACTTCTCACTTATTTTTCAAACATGAAGTATTACATTAAGAACCTTCTCTGACTACATGATCTCTAACCATGGATCCTGTCATTCAATTCTCTGTCTTCATAAAATGATGATGAAGCACATTAAAACACAAGCAGAATTTGAAACCAATTTTCTTCATGAATTTCCTCTAAATTTCCCCCAAGAAATAAGTAAACAAGAAAAATATTTTCAAATATCAAATCTTCTCAAAGCTTCCAAATTTTGAAAACAAGCTAATATAATAAGTGAAGGATGAGATGCAGTCATTAGTCATTAGTCCTTAGTGACATGTACATTCCAGCTAAGTTTCATCTTAAGACACTCACAGGTGTATCAAGGCAAGGCAGACAAACAGTGTGTAACAGAGAGTGATACATCTGACTTATCTTAGGCAGTTGAGATAAATTACTCTGAGAAGGTGCCTTTTGCTCTTTACTGGGTATAAAGAAAAAGTGGAGTTACTAGCAGCTAGCTCTGGATACCCAAGTTACAGCAAATCAATCTAACCATAGGCCAAAACTGACTGAGGAAAAATCATGTTTTGTTCCCATTAACTGGTGCAAAAATCCTTTTTTTCTTGCTTAGAACTTTGTTGTTTTAAAATAGGAAACATACGTTTAATATTTTAATTAATAGTAAGCATTTTTCCTGTAGTTGCAACTATAAATGACACAATAAAATCATTCCTTTCTTAAGCAATTACATCTTAAGGTCTTACAATAAAACATAAAAGGAGAACTACCAGATATAGTAATAAAAACAGTGAAAGAAAAATGCAAAAATAGAATATGCATGATGTTCTATATTTAGCTTTGTGGGTTGGCTCTGAAATCTCCTTTTGAGCTGTCTTCTTTGATAATCACTAGTATGACCAAATTCTGAGGCAACAGTAGGGTGCTCTCCACAATATTTTTATCTGAGGACTCAAGCCAGTCAGTATGCAAAGCTAATCCATGAATTTATTATAGTTCTATACATAAACATTTTTTTTAACTTTTCTTAATGGAGACTAGATCAAAACATATAATTTTACACCATCATTTTCCATATGTCTCCAATTTAATTTTTAATATTAATGCTTTCTAAAAGCCTTGCAAGGCAGATCTCTCTTGAAGACTCTTCCAGTGTGAATGTAACAGGGAATTTAATTTATCTCAAAAAATTATTTCAAAGTGAAACATTTTCATACCTCCCTGTATGTGAGCAGTTTTCCAGCTACATGCTATCAGTGCATCTGCAGTGAATCATACAGAATATCATTTTAAAGAGAGAAGAAATACTGGACATGTGATGTACATTCAGATACTGTATTCCAATTATAGCATCAGTGCTTTCTTCAACAGCATTAAATATCACACAGGAGAAGTCACATTAGCCTCCCAGTGGCATAAGACCTTTGAGGCTTGCTTGCTGCCTTTTTTTTATGTTTTAAGGAATAAAAAGTAGAGGAAAAAAGAATGCCATTTCACTGCTGATTCTGTAATCACATGTAGAATATAACAGCACCACACCTTTAACATTCAACTGCACATCAAGTTAAAACAAAAGTGAATTTTCCAATGAAAAGAAATGTAATTGAAATATCTATACTATTAGTCAGTACTACCCTTTGGGTGAATTTCAATGCCATTGCCACTGTTAGCTGCGAAAACATGAAAATTCCTTCTATAGAGTTTTATTGTTTTGTATTTTTTTTTATGAGACAGCACTCTTGTATTGGCAGAAACTGATTGAATAGATTTTTGCCTCTTACCATCAACACACGCTGGCCTTGCTCTTGTTGTACCGGCAATCTGTCCCTTTTTACATGCACAGCGAGCTGTTTGTCGGGCTATAGTCCTTCGGGGCTGACTGCTATCTCTGTCCAAAGTAACAATCTCACATGTACCTGCAGCCAGTTGACCTGGAAAAAAACCAGCAACAGGTACCAGAGTCACTGAATGCACCACAGGCAATCTGTCACAGCCGAATAGAGCCACGGCCCTAAGTCACAAACAAACGGGCAGCCAGCTGATGGATATAATAAAACTGAGAGGACATACAATTTTTCTTTGTGGTGGACATATGAAAACCCTGCAAACTGGTTCTGTCAGAAAATGATTATTGTTCTGTAAAAGACAGAGTTGAGGTTACACAGGTTACTTTTCCTTATGTTGGCTAAGTAAAGGAGCAATATTTATGGCAGTGAAATTTAAATGGCATGCTCTCTGCATATTTTCAGATCGGAAATTATAAAGTATATGGCAAATAAAAAGTTCCCCACATTTCCATGAATACAATGAAGTCTGAACTGCTTTGTGTGTAGTTTTTGAAGAAAAAAGCCTTTCAAAGCATGTCCACGTTGTCAGTCCTTTGGCTCTTGCTTCATATAAACTGAAAGGTAATTAATTCCCTTCCTGACTCATATTTGATATAGCTGCTATTTTCTTTTTCTTTTAATAAATTTACATGTAACTCTCAAATGGCTTAAATGACACCACACCCTTAGCTCAGCAATTACGTACTTTTTATTGATTTCTCCAATATAGGTAGCTTTTCCTAAATACTAAAGTAATCCATACCACCTAATTCTGAATTTGGACTATGCTATAAGAAGCAAACCAAATAGTTAAAAAAAATATTTTTTTAAGAAGATTCGTTTGAAGCTAATGTTATACTTTTAAAGCAATGCACTTCCTCTGGTACAACCAATAGTAGGCTAGTAGTATGCCAAAATACTACCTTTTATAGTCAGGGAAGATACATTATTGAATTTCAATGTGTAGAAAGACCGAAAAAAATTCCCAACTACTACTTTGTAGTATAATTCCTGGGGTTTATAGTGCAGCGGTAAACATGTGCAACGCTATTTGCAAATCACAAGCTCTTCAGGTTTTAATTAAAAAATATTTTTTTTTAAATCAGTATTGTTTTTGGAAAAAAAAATCAGTTTAAATTATATTAACAGTAAATATTTTTTATGCTGTTGAAATAAAAAGAAAAAAAAAAACAAAAATTGTATAATAACATCAAAACTAAAAAAATCAAACCAAACCAAACCAACCTGAAATATATATAAATGGCCTTTAAGTCAAAAGATACAATGCAATTTTTCTATGTTCCTTTTTTTCCATTCAGAATACAAGTTTACCCAATTAAATTGGGTACAAGTCTACTCAGAAACAGTTAAGATGCTTGTTGTGTGGAGCAGTAAAATACTGTAGACTGTCACCAACATTTTCTCGTTCACTGCTAAAGAACCTAAATTTCATGTTTCTGACTCTTACATTGCAGTCAATTACAAAATGGCAAAAATTAAGATCTCAAGTATGGATATGGAACAAGGTACTAAAAATTCATGCAACTATATGACATGTAAATAATATATATTAGGCACTTACAAACACATATTCACAATAGTGCACATTATCACCACAGTGTTTAATGGATACTGGCAACCAGACTTAAGAGCTATGGTCAGTCCTGTGTTTCTACTCTTTTCCACCAAGTCTGTTAATAAAAACACCTTAGGATAAACATATTGATTAGAGGACTTTTACTCTATTATATGCTGCTTTTTTCTTAGTTCACTCAAAAATACTGGATTAGAATGTAAAGGTTTAGCAGGAAAGATAATAGCACATAATTTTCCAGAAAAAGACAAGTGAGACCCAGCTACACTCAAACATGTTGAATTAAAAAAAAATTAAAAAATCTTTTTAATATATTTCATTCTGGGTTGTAGGAGATGTATTGCTCCTAAGGAATATAGCTGTCTTGGTTGGTCATGTGAAAAAAAAAGATAATCAGAGGTGTATTTAGTTCCTGAGGCCTTAAGCCACAAAAAAAGTGGAAGCGTAAGTATGACACATCTAAGTGTATGGGTTTCCATACTCTCCACTATCCATGAGTCTTTATACTATTATATCTTTAATTAAAAGCTATGATAAATCATACAATCCAGGCAAATAATTATATAAACTCCAATTTCAGAGGAAGGGAACCAGATTTACAGCACAGTGAAGGCAAATAATGACTATACTCAGAGAATAAAAACAATGAAGCTCTATTTCAAGATAATTTGTGAAGGCAGTGAGCTTTCCAGGGACTGCAAGCAATGAGTATCAATAAGAACACCTAATGGTATTTTCTGCTTTTGGATCTGTAGAATTTTAGTTTTGCTTTGGTTTTCAGAAATGATAATTTTTTTCCAGGCACAGTGACCTTATTTTCTTTATGAATTTTGAAAACTAGGATACCTACACAAGAGTAATGGCTACACACAGATATTTTGTCTGTACTTTTGTTTTTTCGATTGCAGAAGAAAATTGTAAGTTATTGTAGAGCTACAGGAGCTCTTACATATATGACATAAATATTTTCTGCTGATTGTGTCACAGGCTGCAAAGATTGCAAGCATATTGAGCACTGCAGCAGAGAGTACATCCATTGTTACTTGGCTTTAGATGGCTGTAAAACACAAAATATATTAGTTGAGGTTATGGAAGGCCATCTCCAGGCAGAGCGTCATCCTGGTGTGAAAGATGTCCTCTTTGTCTTTCATTAGGTAGAGGGGAAGTCAACAGGAGTGCCTCACTTAGATGACATGTGCTACTTTGGCTTTTTAACAATTTAATGGAGAAACATAAGGTACAAAGTAATGGAACGAAATGAATATGCTTCTTGCAAGTACTGAATTGCTAAAATTAGGATAGCTTTCATTTTCAGGGAAGTTAACACAGTGACCTCTTTCAGAGATGTTAATGAAAAAAGGCTGTTCATCGGTGAGCCTCTGAACATGCTCCACTTCACTCCTAAACCCAGAGAAGAAATCTCAAGGCAGCAATGGGTGGAGTTTCACTGGAGTTTTAACAGTTGAGAGATTAAGAGCCACAGTCCATGAACACTCATAAAGGCTCCACAGTTTCATTATATTTTCTTTATGTACTTGCAGTACACAATGCAGTTCACCAGCCTCCAACTTAAACAAAATGATCTTGGTGGAAAAAAAAAGACAAGCATCATTTAAAAATAGAGTCATTCTAGCCTTGTCTAAAAGTTTTTTTCCATGAAAATTTTGGGTTTTGCTATTTTATGAACCAAGCATGAAGATTTTTTCAGAAGTACCACAAAACTGGAGCTTTCCAAGTTAATTAGCAGATATTTCTTTGTTGCTACTGTTATTTATGTATAAATATATATATGTAAATATTTTTAATATTTATTTTATAATTTTAATCCAATAATTAAGACCTCACTGGCAATTTATTTGATTTTGTGTTGTCACCATCTGATTACTTAACAGAGAAAAGTTTCAATTCTTTAATGTTCTTTTATAGTGTAGAACTGCACTCTTAAAATGCCAGAACTCTCCTCACTGTCTCCCACCACAAACATAAATGCTTCTATTTGGAATTATTTCAGAAAAAGGGAAAAACACAGGATTCTGAATTAAAAATATAAGTAGAAGTAAACAAAAATAAAAAAAAATACACAACTGCTAAAATTTTAAGTAAAACAGATTGCTGTATACAGCACTTCTTTTGCTTTTTTTCTAAATGAAGACCATTTGTGATCAGTCCTCCTCAAACTGGTCTTGTGAGACTTTCATGGAAGTGTGTAGGAATCGTGAGCATAGGTAGATGTGTTTAGCAAATGTGCAGGAGATATCTCAAGGTAAAAAGAGCATATTTTTAAAAGATCTTTAGTACTTGCATTATTGAAATAAAATAATTTGTTATTGAAAAGCTTAAAAGCAAATGGCATTTTTCATGTTTATTAATAAGACTCTTCTGTCAACTATATGTCATTGAAAGAACAAAGATTTTTAAAGATCTATATTTTCTGCAATAGCTAAAAGCCTTCAATAGTAGATATATTTGTATTACATGGAGGATACTTGGAATAATATTTTAACTTTCTGTGCCTAAAAATATTTCTGTTCTCCAACAGGAAATAAAAGTCTAAATAATTCACATTAACTACAGCAACCAAGTCACTTTTTTTTTTTTTTATTTATGCTTATTATAAAGCTGAAAGCTTTACCTAAAATTCATTTAAAGAAACAAAATCAAATTATGAACTAATGGAATCTGTGGGCACAATGAAAATAAGTCTTGATCTAAATACATAGATTCTTTCCAGAGGTTTAGATTTCATGCTCATCCAGAAAACCTACTTGTGATTTGTACATGGCAGGCTTATATTATAGTTTCAGTGAACAATTTTTCCATGCATCACTAATTTGATGCCTAGCAACACAAGCTCTTTTAGTTCAAAATGCATTAAGTTAGATGGTATTAAAATTCTTGGCTGGATTCAGATATGCTTTTCTCTGTGAACACAATGCAGGAGTTGTTTCAAAATCAGATCACAGGAGTACATTCAGTCGTTTTCTGTTACAATACTGAAGTCTTTCTGACAACAGAGCCATGCCAACTCCTGAGCAGAGCTGAGGATCAACAATTCCTACTGAAATAACGGGGAACTGAAGTAGTTAGTGTCACTCATTATCTGCAGATTGACATTAACCTGAGCAACAAATATTTTAAAATAATTAAATTTAAAACATAAAAAGCAGATGTTTAAGTGGAACTCAATCTTTTGTCATATATCCTTCGTCAAACAAAATGTCCTTAAAGAAGAAGTCTTACACTGAACATGATCCAATTCCAGACAGTCCAATTACCTTTTCTTTTTAAAATTTAGTTCATAAGGAGGGAGATTATGGCAAGGAATTGGTTTCCCTCAAAGAACTACATTCATGTTTAAGATGCCATAGTAAAATTTGTGGAAATCTAACAAGCATTAAATAAGAAAGAACAGCTTCCAAAAAGCTGTTTCTTTCAGGGAAAAAAAAAAAGTCTTTTAACTAAAGTAACAGAGCAAAATTGGCACAGCCAGTATGGGGAAAAGTAAATTAAG